TCGACAACGATGACGGGCAAGCAATGCAACAATTTCAAGAAAGCATTGGTAAAGAAGGTGAAAGATTCAGCGTTGAACGGCCTTGGAGGAATTCGGAAGTTCAACTGCCGTCGGCCTTTGTTTTTGAAGACTGAAAACCATCGCCAACAAACTCCGTGCTCACTCCGAAGTGTTGAAGCAGTACGACAACATACTAAAAGAACAACTCAATCAAGGGATCATGGAAAAAGTTAACGATTACCAAGAATCAACCATTATCTGCCTCACTAAGTAGTCATCACACCCATGAAAGAAACGAAGAAAATTCGAATGGTATTTGATGCATCTGCAAAAACAAATATTCGGAAAAGTCTTAACGACCTGTTTTGCTAAACGACCTAACTGGAATTCTCCTTCGCTTCTGACAAATGGAGATCGCGATCATTTGCGACACTGAAAAGGCTTGCCATCACCTGGCGCTTAATGAAAAGGATCGGGACGTCACTCAGTTTCTATGGCTGAAAAACATTGACGAGCCGGTTGAAGGAAAAAATTTTATCGTATTTCAATTTCGACGTGTGCTCTTCGATGTAGTTCGTCACCCTTCTTTTAGCGGCAGTGATCAAGCACCATTTGTAATCATTACCAAGAAGTGTAGCAGAGGAGCTGGAACGGAACCTGTATGCGGATAATGCTATCCTAGAAGAGAATCCGGAGGAAACGAACAGTGAATATAAAGAACTTAAGGAAATCTTCAAGAAAGCGCAAATGTATATGCGCGATTTTTTTTTTCAAATTCGATTTAATTCAACAAGTCGATACTAGAATCCGATCGTAAAAGAGAACAATTAAAGAAAGTGCTAGGAATCATGGTAGTTCAACCACCGATACACTCTGCGTAAAATGAGCAAGCACAGAGGGAGAAGTAACGAAAAGAAAAATCTCGCGAGGAACTGCATCAGTCTTCGATCCACCGTGACTCATCTGCTCCGCAATATTGCCAGCTAAGATTTTACTTCAAAACCTCTGGAGAAACAACTACCGTTGGTATGATAAAATAAATGCTGTAGAGGCCAGCGAATGGGAACGAATCATCAAGAAGTGGGAGAACGCCTGCACAGAAATACCAAAAGCAGCGGTAAAAAATGACATGAAGGAAATACATGTCTTCACTGATGCTTCACTGCATGCCTGTGCTACAGCAGTATACGTGAGAAGTGGAAGTCAAAAGACAACTAGCTGTTCACTCGTATTCGCAAA